TAAAATGTTATTTGCGATTTAATTGTTGCAATAATAATTATATGTGGAAATATAGCTTACTTTAGATTTTATCCTAAATACAAAATTGCACGCTAGTAATAATATCCTTCCTTGTTCATATACTAAATAATCTGTCATTTAAACTTATTCATAATTACTTACAAAGTGTATAATGGATCATCATGTTGTTATGCTAATTAATTTTATTTGATAGCGTAAAATTCTTCATTATTTATTTGAAATACTAATAGTTACAAACATTAGTAAGAGTAGAATTTTTATAATTGTTGTAAAAAAAAAAATGAAATGAAATGATGTACTTCCTTGCTCTTTTATAATCTTAAATGGAGTGAGTTTGATGATGATTTTTTTAAAATTTTATTTATTCTTTTCCAACGCTTTGGATAATTGCATCTAACTGATAAAGCAAAAGGTTCTTTTATTTCTTTTTGATTATTCAAGTTCGATCACATCAAGTCGTAGTAATCAATTTTTTTTTGAATAATAGGCACCTTCTTTTGTAATAGTTAGAAATAAATCCACTTCGTTATTATAAATAATTTGTATGTGCTGGTTTATTATAACCAAACTAATAAAATGAAATAAAAAATTTAAAAATTTTGATTGCGATATCACGTGATCACGTGAAATTTGGGGACTAGCGATTTACCGCCATTGCGATGATTTATAAAATCCATTTTATATAATATTGTTCTTTGTATTTTTAGATGATTAATTTGTTAAAAGACCACCAATCAATCAAAGGAATTCCTAAACTTGACAAATAATGTTTTTTATATTTATTATAATTGCTTTTATTAGTAGATATTTTTTTTTATATTTGATAAAACACAGACATTGCAACAAGCAATATTACACAACGTGAAATTATAATTTTTTGTATTGAATAATTCATATATGATGAGTAAAGAAATAATCATTTTAGGACTTAGATTCCGCCTTCCTGATACACAAGTGGCATCATTGATTGTATTAATAATTTAACATCTTCATGTGTGGTCAGATTCACAGGGTCAGGCCATGCATGCAGGAGCTGTTTCAATATACCAATATCATTGTCACTCCATTTATCCAAACAATGATATACAGACTTATCCAACCCAAATGCAGATAAGCAATATTGTTCTCCATATTCTTCAAGTCGTGCCCTCTTTTTTGATCTTGTGTTTGAGCTTGGCAAGTTGTTAACATGGAGTGGCCGCAATTCTGATATTGGAGCACCCAGTTGAAGATATAAAGATAGGTATGGGTTGCCTTTTCCCTCTGTGATCCTGCCTTTAAAGACATACTCTTTTGAGAGTTTACTTGTGGCCGAGGCAGGCCAATGATCATCATAAAACTGATTCCAATTCTTGATTTGTATCAGAACGTAAGACATTGAATCAAGTGATATAGTATTAGATCCATCCCAATCCAACAGAACTGGAAGTATCAAGTCAACTCCTGC